CTTAAGCATTATGATAGGCTGGCAATCACCCAAGTCAACGAACTGCGGATTCATCTCAGATGAGTCCAGCTTTGATGCTGACAATTCCTTGTGAACAGCCGCTCACTCATCGAGATTCCGAGCCCACATATTCAAGTGCTTATGCGGGGGTATAATGTAGAACTGGCAAGGCAAAGTATCTGATCCGAGTTGGGCAGCCGAGCCGATGTCCCAGCCTGGGACTCCCAGGTGTACTCAACCCACGCACTGTTCGGGAAAGGCACCGGCTTGTTAACCCAAGTTCTGGTATGCCTCTTCGACTAGTCAGACTCACCAAATGTAGCCCAGTACCCGAGATGACTGGCAATATTCAATAGAGGGAATATGTCATCATATTCCAGAACGTTTCCACCACCAAAAGAGGCGACATCCATCGCCTGATCGGCTAGACCACCGAAAGTGAAAGCTGTTGCAGCTCTCGTGAGCTGTAGAGTCTGCGTAAATATCGAGCAAGCAGAGCCACAGTTACCATCCGTCACAAAAACGACCTCCGTCCAATACTTCGGGTCATAACTCGACCCTTTGACAATTTCGGGTAGAGCATTCTACAATACGTGATAGCAGAAACCGGAAGCACTAGTAGCGGAGTAGTTTGAAGGCTCGCCCTACATCGAATAGTATTCGAGTCACATCGTTCTCCCGAGCGAAGTCTTGAGCTTCGGAAAAGTTTTCGTACAGAACGACCGGCAGTACAAAAAAACCATCACCGGTAACGAAGTCCGGTACGCTCACCATCACCAGTAATGAATATTGGTAGCCGGTTCCAGAGATCCACTTTCCTTCTCCTTGCAAAGTCCTTGACGACAAGAGAGCAGCATCACCATCATCATACTGTATGATGATGGTGGTCCTGCTCTCTGTATGATTCATACACATTACGACTACTATCCGCTCGAGCCACAATGTCGTCCAAAGCTTGGACTCCAAGCCAGCATAACCGTAGTCTTGATTGAATCAAGCTGATTCGACGACCCAACAGCAAAGTTCCATAGAGTGCTGGCATCCTTCTGGTAGAACTCGGTCTCGAACGCCACCGTTTTTCCGAATAGTGGGTTCCTATTAGTTAGAGCATTGTAGAAGCGCGCGGTAATAGAGCATCACCTCCCACAGACTTGGTATAGTCGCTAAACCGCCGGAGCCAGTCTACGACCGTTACATGGCGCTTAAGCTCGGAATATTCTCCGGCGCGCCCCGGAAATGCTCGCCGCGTCCCGAAATTTCTCCTGGAGTCAAAATCTACTGTGATGGCACCTTCAAATTTTCCTCCAGTTTGTTCCGCCAATTGTACGGGATTTATGTGAAGAAGAGTAATAATGGTTCGCCAGTTATTCTGTGTTTTTTACAAGCGAAAACTAAGCAATTTTATGTGGATTTTTCGTATTTACTTGATGAGAAATGCCGCGATCTCTTCGGAGATGGCCTCAACATTGAACACGTGATTCTTGATTTCGAAAGTGGCATGATTCGAGCCATACAAGCTCTAATGCCACAGACCATCATAAGTCTTTGCTTGTACCACTGGGCAGCAGCTCTCTATAACTGGTAATCTCTGTAACCTTTGCGAGGCATTCCACCACACATTAAATTCTCTGTGTGTTACTTCGACTCCTACTTTCTATTAAATTTTACATATCATAGTGGACGAGTTCGACGAGTCGGCTAGGATGTTCTCCAGATAGAGCAGGCGATGCTGTCGTAAAGTCACCACCA